GTGTGGGCTGCCGAGGCGTTGGCCACTTCCAGCACCGTCACGAAAAGGCCACTGTTGTTCTCCTCGTTTCTGATTTCCACGTTAGGGTTCTCGTCTTCAGACATGGGGTACTGCCAGCTCACTTCGCTCTCCCCGAAGCATCTCAGCGAAAAGGACGAATTCAGCTGCACGACCTTTTCGTTTTCGTTTGGAAGCATCGAGGGCAGCGAAGGCTGGCAGAGGATCAGGCCCGGCCCTGTAGAAGGAAACGCGCTCTGAATAGGACGCAGCCAGGGAGGACGGGCTCACCCGGACAACTGAGAGAAGCCACGGTAGCAGCTTCTGTGAACAACGAGCGTTTCTGCGCAAAACTCCGTTAGCCTGGACGCCCGTGAAAGGCGCCCCCTTATAGCAGCCGCTGCATCTGCTGAGAGCAGCAAACGTCCCAAAGGCCTCAACAGCCCCGCCGAGGCCCCCTACATCCACCCCTCCAAACACTCGGATGGATCGAGGAGCCCGATTCCAGTTCAATATCTCAGACTCTTACGCGTGACCACAAAATATCCCAGGACGGCAGAGACGCAAGCGCGCAGGGTTGTTTATGGTCCACGTTCCCTGCAGAGGTTTCCCCGAGTTAAAAAAAAATGGGATGAGAAGAGAGGCAGGGAGATAGGCTGAACAAAGCCCAGAGCAGATCTGTGCTCAGGAATCCTGTATCCTCCATTTCCTAACAGGACACCCCTGGGTGCTGTCCCTCCCTGATGACTTCCAGGGCCAAAGTGGGATGATGTCGATTTTAACTCACGAATAATGAGTAAACCCCAAGAGTGAAAACTCTAAGTTCATCTCAGAGCCTCCAATTTCAGTCTAGCTTCCCGTGTCTCTAAAACTGATAGAATTGCTATTATGACTTAATTAATTATTAATTAATGGCTCCAACCTCCCTTGGAGCCTGATGGGGGAATCCCACCCGATTTCAGTACGTGACCACTGTGATTCCCGAGGCTTGTTAAGACAGGGGCTGTAAGTGCATCTGGATCACCTCTTGCCCCGCAGTTGGGGTGTACTTAGTGCAGCTTAGGACCACTGACTCTCTGGTCCTGCTCAATTCTACCATATTCAAACGGATAAGACTTACAGACACTAACGGGCTGAGTTAACTCCTCAGACCACAGAAGCACTGGTTTCACGGCGCACATCTGCAACTCATAAATATGTGGATGAAAACTAAGAAAGTCCAATAAATATTTCAACAGATGGCCCCAGTGGCTTCCTCCTGGTGGAAAAGAGTTAATAAGATTTTCCAAGAGCCAAGCACTCACCTACCAACTGGCTTCCAAGAGAAAGGTAAAGGCGGCTCTAAGATTGCAAAGCAATGTAATCATCTTTTGTTAAGAAAGGAAAGATTTCCTGGGCAAGAATTTTCTGTTTATTTCCTTTGAACATTTTTTTAAGAGACAGAGCCTCGCTGTGTTGCCCGGGCTGGAATGCAGCCGGTATTCATAGACACGATCATAGCGCACGGTAACCTCTAACTCTCGGCCTCAAGCTATCCTGTCTCAACCGCCCCAGCAGCTGGGACTGCAGGAATACCCCTGCACCCAGCCAGATAGTCTTGAACTTACCTGACCCACCTCTACTGGAAGCCCTCATCCTAGGAACAGGAAGAGGGTCGTGAGTGAATGGAGACTATTATTACTAACAACATTTCAATGCCAAGATTATCCATCTACTAAAACAGCCACTGGAGAGCATTCTTTCTGAAACGGCATCAGTGCAATCCAGCAAAGGGAGCTGCAGGTTTATGGTCATTCTAGATAACATCCTATAAATTTTCCATTCCTCTTCACTCTTTTGGACTGTGCAAACCCACGGAACACAGAACTTAGAAAACAAGGCACCCAGGGCCAACACACTCAGGGAGGACTGAGATCGTACCTGTGAGGAGACAGCCTAAGACCAGGAACGCCCGATGGGAAGTCCCCATAGCTCTGGAAAACTGCAAAAGTGAAAAGTCAAACAGAAAGAGTATTAGCCAATAGAAATAACGCTTGAGCCTACTTCTCTGTGTGCTCTGCATAATGGAAAACATTAATAGCATCACTGTAGTCAAAAATGTCCCGAGTTTAAGATTTAAAACAGTAAGACGCCTGGGAAGATAATAGCCTGATAGCCCAATGGGGCCCCAAGGTCATGACAGCTGGACCCTCTGTGATCGCTGCAGGCTTTAAATTCTGAAAAGTTCCAGATCGTGTCCAACAGTACAGGAGAACTGTTTCTTTACACCATTTAAATTAAGAACGTGAAAAACCAAGAAATGAACGCATATATTATCTCAACTTTCAACTAGAGCAGTTTTCATCCGAAATAGGTTTCCACTTGCTCCATGCTTCCATTCATAAAGAGGTCACGCCCTCTACAACTTTTGAAAAAGTTGCTTGGGAGGAAACAAACGTCTTCCTAGTTAAGCATCATTCTGATCTAGAGTTTTTGAAACTCCCGCCAGCCAGTGTCACTTAGATCCATGTCCCAGGCTGAGACCTGGGCTGCCTGCCCAGGTTCTCGTAGGAACTCTCACAGAACCCGATGGGTTCCCAGCCGGGCTAACAGGGCGTGGTAAGTCAGGGCACAGGCACGAAAGGAGGAAGCAGTAATGAAAGAGAGGAAGGGAGGGAAGATGGGAGAGAAATTCCTGTGTGGAGAGGAGGCAGCTGACGGTAGGGTAAACTTCAGTGGAGGTTGATCACCTGCTTTCGTGTTAGGGTAACAGCACCTGTACAAACCAGGTTCGAGAACTCTGATTTCCTACAAAAAAATCTCTGGGGAATGGAGATTGAAACTGAATGTCTATATGATCTAAACAGGGCAAGCAGTGGGGGGAAAAAAATGGAAGGGAGGGAAAAGAAAAGAAGAGAAAGAAATTGAAGAGGGGTCCGTGCTACCCTGGGGTCAAACGAGAGTTCTGGCGAACTCTCTGAAAAGACCCCTCTTCTCTCTCTGTTCCTTTTCACGCACGCCCCCGTCACTTTATTTGATCTCCCCCTCACCTCCCACAGGACGTCACCGATAAGGTGGCCTTACCGAAGTCAGCGAACAGGACCTGCGAATGGGCTTGCCAGCGTTGGGGCCTCTGAGCACCCGATTTCAAATGAAGAGGCCACGCCGAGGGGCCTGGGCAGGGGCCCGAGCTCTGCGATAACCCCTAACAAAGCATCACCTTAGCCCAGAGTTGCCGCCCAGCTCACGCAATGGAGGGAGCCCAGTGGGGCTCCATTCCTTCCACTACTTACTTTGAAAACGAAGGTGTGTGTACATGATTTCTGAGTAAAGTGTCTTTTAAAAAAAAGAAAGAAAAGAAAAATTCAATGGGTTCCTCTGTGTACTCCTAGTTGGGTTGCTGGGGTTTTGCGGTTTTTGTGTTTTGGGGTTTTTTGGTTTGTTTGGTTGGTTGGTTGGAGAGAACCCAGTAAAGAACAGCCTAAATGCAGTTTTGGTGGTGCCTGATCATGTCTGTTTGCTTCAAGGTGGCCCTACTGGCAGAAATCAGATTTCTGAATTCCACCAGGAAAATAGAGGAGGAAAAAGGACAGAATGAAAGGCGGAATGGGAAGGGGGTGGGCTAGATCGAAAAAAAAGGGAGAGAATGAGAAATCATTCATTTTTTTAAATCACATTTATGTATTTTATTTATTTATTTAGAGATGGGGGTCGTGCTCTGTTGCCCAGGCTGAAGTTCGGTGGCTATTCACAGGCGCAATCATTGCACGCTACAGAGAAACCGTTATTTACTAAGCCAAAGTGTTCATGCCGTGTTTGTTAAGAGTAACCCTGTGATCATTTTAAGTTGATTTTAAGAAGGGGCAGTCAAGGCTCAGAGAGGTTTAGCAAATGACCCCAAGTCACACAGATGGTGGCAGAGCCAGGATTCTGTATGATGCAAAAGATACAAAAGCTATGTTCTCTTCACTCCACCATGCGGTCTCTCTCAAGGGAAGTTGGGTGTCTCAGCCCCTGCACCCCCAGCCCCACTATTTCCTAATGCAAATGAGCCCCCTCTTCCTTTTCTGCTCCCCACAGCAGGAGAAGCACAATTGCAGTGCTGTGAGCCCGAATGCAGTCTGCTCAGTGATGACTGGCTGATGGCTCCTGAGGTTCCTGGCATGTGCCCGGGATGGCGGGCACAGTGGGGCCCCAGAGCCAGGCTGGCCAGCCTGATTTACCACAATTAGCAGTAACGCCTGTGTGTTTGTACATATAAATACCAGCCTCCCACCGATAATCCACTCAGCAAACTTCAAAGGAGGCCTCCAGAGCCAGCTTGATGTCTTGGGTTTTATCACATCTATATCCTGCGTTTCTTTAGCAAGGCTTGCCAACGATGCATCTTGAAAGTATTCCCGGGCTCAAGAGGGGCTTGCAGCGCAGGCTCTCAGGAGTGTTTTGCCCTGGCCAGGCCCCACCAGATTTCCTTCTGTGCATCCAGATACCGTGGACCCGCTGCCAGGGAGGATTATTTACTGACACACAAAGTGGGCAATGAAAACAGGGCCCGTGTGCAAGCGATAATGATGCAAATGCTGAGAATCAACATGTGTTTGCTTAAGATTTCAAACTCCCTTCTCTGATAACACTGGTTCCCTGGCTAGAAATCCAGGCGTATTTGTGAAGTTTCATGTCATTACTCATCTGTAAGTTGGACAATTTACTCGTGAATCATGGCAGAGTGTTTGCCCCACAGGGAGGTAACGGAGAACAACGAGAGAGATGGACGCTTTGCTCGCCTGCTGGCCCTGTACCGAGAATCTCTGAGAGTGAGTCTTGCTATTTCCGGCAAGACTTTTCTACATTGGGAGTAAATGCTCATCCTTAATTAGTGACTCCTATCCTGGAGTTCATCCAAAGTCAGATTTGCAAGTGTAAGTAACTGAGGTTCCAAATTCTAAGGAACATGGTACTGTAAGAGTCACCGTGAACAAACCACTTTGCAGGTAGGAACAACGGATTTTATACAAATCATTTTTTTTAAATCATAATTATTTCTCTCATGCCAACTACGTGTTGAACTTCAGCCTCAATCCTCTGTAATCACAGCTCAAAAAGCATTTGCCACCGTTAGAGAAACAAACCGGGAAAAGAGACCTCTGCCACGTTCACTGTCAGGCAGTTGACTTGTGGTTTTGCCATCCTCTTGACCTTCTTATACTTTCTCTCAGAAGATGTGATGGAAATCAGATTGGACTAGGTACTGATCACAAATATGACACTTTGGGATCCACTCTGAACTTCAGTCTCTTCTTTTATAAATCAGGACTAAAGAACTGACTAGTGTGCTTGTCCTACTGTATTACTATAAGGACTAAACTAGACAGCTTAATTGAAAGTGCTTTGGTTTTCATATTGACTCTTTTTCTGCAGACTTCTAAGATGTTTTAGATGAGAAGCATGTCAGAGGTAGCTACTTCAACTTCTCCTTACTAAGAAAGATAGTGAGGCCCCAGAGGCCATATGACTTGCCCTGCATCTCCTGTCTACTGGAGAAGTGGATCTGAACTCTGATTCTGCCAGGCCAGTAGCCCACTCCTACCCTTGCTACCTCCAGCCTAGTATAGCTATAAAGACTATTTTAGAACCTGGTCACACCTGTAATCCTAGTACTCTGGGAGGCCAAGGCAGGAGGATCACTTGAGGCCAGGAGTTCAAGACTAGCCTGAGCAAGAGCGAGACCCCATCTCTACAAAAAATAGAAAAATTAGCCAGGCATGGTGGCGTGTGCCTGTAATCCCAGCTACTTGGGAGGCTGAAGCAGGAGTCTGAGGTTGCAGTGAGCTGAGATGACGCCATTGCACTCTGGCCCAGGTGACAGAGCAAGACTCTGTCTAAAAAACAAACAAAAAAAAGACCACTTTAAGACGAACCAATATCCACAGTCACATAAACAGAGAAACAAATCTGTTTGCAGCTACTATCCTTTCTCTTTAACGGGGGGCTGTCTCCTCCCATGCAAACAGAAGTGAAGGGCCATTGATCTTGACTCTACAACATGAAGAGCTACAGAGTAAACAGACAGCAAGCAATGCAAAGGCTCCACTTCCAGAAGAACTAAGAACTATTCTCACAAAGCCAGAGAGCCAGCTTCCCGATCCCCAACCCACCAGTGCCTCCCGCCGCAAAACTACAGAATATTGAGTTTCACTCCACTCTCGCATGATTACAGGCCCCGGGCGGCTCCCTCGCAGCCCCCAAAGCCACTGATGACTTCAAGATTCAAATTTCCGAGGTTCAGCTAATTTCAGCTCTCCTGAGTTAATTCTAACTGTGAAAATTACACATCTCGTTTTTTTTCTCTGCAGCAAACGTTCTACTCAGTCTCATAACTTCAGCCCAAGCAACCCGAGTGCAGGTCTACACTGGTGGCGGCTTCTCCCTGTTTCCCAGCAGAGGGTGTTTACCAGGACCTCCGCAACCCACCAGAGCCTGTTTTGTTGTTTTGATCTCCCAGAGCTCCGTTAGACATTCCAGGGATGGGCGAGGGCTGGAGTATTTTTACACAGGAGCATTTTATGGGACAATCTGAGCTCATAAACCTTTCTCCTCTCCCTGCCCCAGATACTTAACCACAAGAGACTAAAGTGGCACATCTTCTTGGTGTGACTCCTAATGTGACAGCCTTGCAGTACACTTAGGCCTGGGATTTGAGGTCCCCAAGCCCCCACACTAAGTGTCCTCACTCGTAAACCAGCACACAGATACGGGCCTACCCTCCTAGCGCAGGCCTGCGCTGATAATCGGATGTCCAACATGTACATGAAAAGGGTTAACAACTAAGGAGAAAAACAACACTAATGTCCACAAAAGAAATGTCGTCTGTCCAACGATTCTTGTAGCTTTGCAGGAAAAGAAAATCAGTCGCGATCTTTTACGGTCTTAATGGGGGAAAAATGCATCTTCCTGATGCCCCTACTTGCTCAGAGTCTCCGCGAAGCCCGTTCTCCCAGCGGATCCTGGCAGTTCTCGGGAGTGGCCAGCAGATGGCAGTGTTGCTCCAAGGACGAGCATCCCGGGGTCCGCGGAGACGCAGACGCGAATTCTAAGCTAAAATTCCCCAAATCTTAACTTCCAATCTTTTCCGTTCTTTTGTTGTACTTTTAGGTTTCGTGGTGACCACAGTTAAGAGCCCATGGAGTGGAAGCGGGAATAGGAACGCTGCTCCGAAAATGTCTAAATGTGGTCGGGGCCCCAGGGGAACCGGTGAGGGGCGCGCAGCGCATCACTGTCACCGTCGCCGGGAGCCGGGGCGACAGGGCGGCGGGGCCTCGGGACCCAGGGAGACGACGCTGCCGGGCCAGGCCGCCATGGCTCAGCGGGACTCGCCGCTCGGGTTCTGTTGCAGCCTCCACTCTCGCCACCTCGGCGTTGCCGCCCCCTCGGGGCAGGAGCCCACCTGGGCCGCGCGGGGTGGGGGCCGCGATGCCGTTCCCGGGCCACTGTCACCCCTCATAAACCCGCCCGCCGGGGCCTGCGACGGCCGTGCAGCCCGAGAACCGGGAGCTGATTGGAAACGACTGTTCCGTTGCACAACAACGCAGGGTCGTAAAACAAACAAACAGCAACGGGCCGCCTGCGCGGCAGGGGGCCTTACGAGGGGCTGGGACAGGGAAGGCGGCGCCTGCCCCCCGGGAGCGCGCGGGACCCGACCTCCTCCACCTTCCTCCGCTTCTCGCACATCCAATTAAAACGACGCCCCCGCTCCCAATCCCAAATCTGGGGACCTCTGCCCCCTTTCGTCCACGCAGCGCCTCCCGGGCTCACGCGGTGTCTGCGAGGCTTCTCCTGGAGGCCTCGGCGCGGGGGAACGGTGGCCCAGGTTAGCCCAGGTCCGGCCCCGGGTCCCAGCGCTGCGCTCCGCCGCTGCGGCGGCGCCGACCGCCCGGGGGTGGCGCAAAGCCGGACGCGCTGCGGGGCCCGCTAGAGGGCGCGGCAGCCCCGCGAATCTTACCCGCTCGCTCGCAGCTCGGGCTCCGGGGTCCCCGACAGCGCAGCCCGGACCGCGGCTAGCCAACCTCCGCCGGGGAGGCTCCGCGCCGGCACCGTCCGGCCTCCGACCCCGCCACACCCACGCTAACGCCGCCAGGCCCGCTCTCCCTCCCGCCTCCTCCGCGGCTCCGTCGCCCCGGGGTCGGTGGCGACGCCCGGCCGCTCCGGGTGCCCGCGCCCCTGCCAGCCGCGCCCCGACCTCACAGCTGCAGAGGCCGCCGCGCCCCAGGCACGACGCTCGGCGCTCGCATTGTTTTCGACTGAGACCGGAGCGGGGGCCGGGCGGGTGGAGGGAGAGGGGCCGGGCGCGGTGGGGGAGAGGGGCGCAGGGTTTAGGGTTTCAGGCGCGCGCCAGCGCCTCCTATGGGCCTGACAGCCGCACGGCCGCGGGCAGCGGCTCACGGGGAGGCCGGGGCGAGCGGGGCCCGCGCCCCCTCGGCTTCTGAGAACCCGGCCTTCCCCGGTGCCCACCTGGGCCGACCCCCGCCCGCGCCGCGGCTCTCCCGCCCCACCCCCGCGCCGGTCCGCGCCTCTCGCTCCCTTTTCGCAGGGGAGCGGGGACTCCAGCGGGAGGCAGGGAAGGAGGTACCCCAAGTCCGAGGTTCCCTTTGTCCCCTCCTACCACCTACTTTTCCAACCCATGCCTGCTTTGCAGTTTGGTTTAAAACAAAAGGAAATGCCGCCGAGCCACTTCGGCGAAAGACAAGCGTCGGCAGAGCCCGGACTAGAGCGCAGCGGGGAGGAGCAGTTTGCCCCCCACCCTGCAGCTCGCACCCGGGCGAGCCCGAGAGATCCCCTCCTCAGGCTGATGCTGCGGGCGGACCCCGAAAGCTGGACGCGAGGGACGCCGAGAGCCGCACCTTTTGGTCACCGAGCCGGCTTTTAGCTCTTTCCCCAGAATTGCCACTTTTCCACCAGCAACATGTAACCTGGTCGCAGTTAGTTCCCTGGAGGTCAGAGGGAGTCCCGCCTGCCCGGCTCTGCGGGAAGGCGCTGGCCACCACGTCCCCAAACCGCGTCCCGGCTAGGCGCACCGCCCACGGTCTGTCCCCAGGAGGCACCAAACGGGCCCGCCTCGGCGCCAGACGCGTTTGCAGCTGGAAAGCCCGGCCCGATGCCCCTCCCCCTGCGTCCCTCCCCAGCCCGCGTCCCGGGAGGAAAGCGGCCCAGGGGCCGAGAGCTGGGAGCCCGGGCTCTGCCTCAGTCCCTCTCGATCCAAAGGCTGGAGCAAGAGCCAGGGCCCCAGGGGCCAGTGACGGGCTCGGTCCCGGCGCCCCCCTCTCCTCCCGTCCCCCCAGCTCTCGTGAGCAAGGTCGGGCTGCACTTGGGTCGGTCCCAAAGCAGGACCGTGCCAGAGCTCCGAAGCAGGGACTGACCAAGGCGTCAAAGAGAAGCTGGTCGGCCCCACGCCTGTCGGGGAGCCGAGGAAGGGCCCCCCATCGTGAGGAGTGTGGAAAGCAGGACCAGGAGAGAGAGACGGGGGAGGGGATGCAATGCCGCGGTGCCGGGTCCAGGTTGGACAAATCGAGGGGACGGGGCGGGGTGAAAATCAGGGCCAGCGCAGCAGCGGGCGAGGCGCGCTCGCCCCGGGAGCCTCCTCCTCCCCTCCCGCGGGGACGTTAGTCCGGGGAGATGGGTGGCTGAGGACTGTCGTGCCTCGTTTTCCCCGGATGCCTCCCCCTGCTCCAAAAATCTGTCTAGTTCTGGTCGAGAGCGACCGCGGCGAGGCGAGTCGGCCAAAACGTTGAGCAATTCGGCCACGGAGCCAAAAAGCCATTTCCCACACCGCCCAGCCCGGGGCTTTTGCAGGCAGCTCGGCCGGGCGCGGGGCGGTCCGGACGTGATCGGGAACATCCGTGCTTGCCTCCCACCCTGGGAGATCAAGGGAGTGGAAAGTTCTTCCAGACACTCTTTCCGCACGTCCTAAAGTCTCAGCAGGGCTGCGGGGCGAAGCGCGGGCCCCGCTCCCGGGCTGCGGGAGAGACAGCGAACTGCCAGCCTGCGCGACACGTCCTTGGCGACCAAGGCGCGAGGCCAGGCTACCCGCAGCTGCTGCACACCTGGCCGGGCGGTCCCTGCTCCCGGCTCCCTCCGCGACCGCACTCCGGTCGGGCCTCACTCCCTGTCGCTCTGAGCTGGCCGACACCCTTTCCGAATAGAACCGCTGACCCCGGTGTCAGAGCCAAATGGACGCCGCCCGCTCCCCGCGCGCTGCCCGCTGCCGGGCGGAGTTAACCTCCCGTGTGAACCCCGATTTCCCTGGGGATGGACGGCGGGCGGAGGCGGGGTACGCGCAGACGGCTCTGGAGCCGGCAGGGAGCGGCAAGCAGTGGGGCGGCTCCGAGGACCACGCGGCGCAGGGCAAGCGCCACGCATCCCGCGCGGAGCGGGACACCGGGGAGGCGGGCAGAGCTCGGGTGCCCCGAGGGAGAGAGAGGCTGAGGGCGGTTCGCCTCCCACCTTGTTGTCTTACCTGCAGCCAAGTTTCTCCGGTTCCAAGTCGTCCCTAACTAACTTCCTCCCGAGAAGTTCCGCGCTTTCCTGGAGACCTTTCCTCTTCTCCTGACTGCGGCCGGGACTGAGTCGCCGCAGAGCCCCGGGCTTTGCAGAAACGATTAACCGAGGAAAGGGGCGCGCGGGGACGGGTCGGGGTGGGGGACCACCGCGCACGATGAGGGCCCCTTGGAGTGCAGTTCGAAATTCCTCAAATCCCAGTTGCTGGAATGCGAGGCGGCGACGACTTCTTCACTCGGGGCCAAATGTGTTTGTCATTACTCCGGACCGCCCGCCCGCGCCGCCGCTGTCGCCCCCGCGCTCGGGCGTGCAACCCGAGCGCACGGCCCGGGGGTCGCCCGCTCTCCCTCGCACCTCGCCGCCCGAGAGAGCACCCCGAACTCTCGCAAAAGCCCGCGCCCCTCGGCTTGTCCTGCAGCCGCCCCACCGCGGTGCTTCATCTGGCCCCGGCTTGCACCAAGCGCAGCGCCGTCCAGCAATTACGCGCGCTCGGCTGGCGCCATGTGCACCCAGCCAGCACCGAAGTCCGGCCTCCTCCAGCCGAGCCCTTCACGCCTCCCCCGCCCGGACCCCTTCCCGCGCCCCGCTCTGCGCTCTTCTCTCCCCACCGCCCCGGCGCCCCAGCCGCGCTCCGCGCCACCGGCTGCAGGGCTGTCCCGCCAAACCGCGGGCGAGGAATGAAAATACCCATTTAAAACCTGTCGCCTTCCAGGACCCGCTGCCAAGAAGAGGGCAAACACCTCTGCCTCCACCCCCAGCATTACTTGGTGTCCGTCCCAGCACTCACGAATACCACCCCCAGCTCCAAAAGAAACCTCAAAAATGTAAGCCTAAACAATTTCTTTGGGAGGCCATAGGGTTGTTAGAAAAACATCGCTTTTAAAAATAGATCTGGAAAGTGTGTGTGTGTGTGTGTGTGTGTGTGTGTGTGTGTGTGTGTGTTTTATAATCCCTGGACTTTCTAACTCTATGGTTATCTCTCCAAGTGAAGTTTATTCCCAAAAAAATTGCTCTCTGGACACACAACCGGAATTCACTCCATTTTTTTTCTTACCGCCCAAAGTTTGAAGTTGCTTCGCTCCTTCCAGCACCAGAGTCTGATCAGGGACTTCCCTTAGCAACAGAAATCAGTTTTTCTCCTCCCTTACCTTCTCCTTGTATGTCACTCTGCAATGAAAATCCTACACATGGAGCAAAAAGTGTGTCCGCGGCCTCCAGTTCTCTCCTGCGGTCCCTTCCTCTGTTTCTCTCCTTGTAGCTCCAACTGTAACGGGCTCAAAAACCGAGTTTTGTAATTGATTCAATGTTATAGTCCATCCTTCTAAAACTAATCATTTTCTCTAAGTAAATAGCTGTCAGGAAATAAAGCCCCCCCCCCTACATTGGCCTCTTCAAAATAAAAGTTTCTCTCGAACTCCCAGAGCTCAGAGTCTTCCAGCCTCCAGATTGCGCCTGGGCTTTTCGCTCTTACGCAATCAGGGGGTCCAGTCCCAACCCCCAGACTTCGACAACAACTGGGGGGGCGGGGAGAAGCAGACCAGATGGGACGGGGGGGATGGGAGGGGGAGGTGTTGATGCTCTGCCGGGAAAGACGTTTTGTGAAACTACAAACAGCCCATCATTTCCAGAATGAGTTTGCCTCCCAATTTGGGGGTTATTTTCCTACACTACTATAGTTTGGTAGTCTCTTTGAAAAGCGGAAAAAGAACATGTCAAATTGCGGTTAATACCCAGAGAGAATATAAATCTGAAATCGAGAGATGTCCCTTCTGTGGAAACTCCTACAGCCCAACGAGAAATGGGGCCCTCTGGAGAAATCTCCAAGCGGTTTTTGCGCCTTTTTGAACCAGGGGTCTTAGGGAAAGTGCTGTGTGGTTGCTAATCCTTTAATGGGATTAGGCAAACTGTTGAGTCCTATATGACAATGACGGTTTTTTCTTTCTTTTTTTTTTTTTTTTGAAAGACTGGAGTCTGAAGCGGGGTACAAAAAATTGGGGGTCTGTGTAGGTTTGGAACGTTCTCCTGCAGAATGACCTTTGCTCACTTCGAGCCACTTATCTTGTCGTGCCTTTGTTTTCGGGGTTATCTGGGCGAGGTTGCCCTGGCTTCTATCTCGCGAACAAAAAAGCTCAGGCTGGGGCATTTGGGGAATCGTCTACGACACGTCTGCTGCCTCCGCGTCCAGGGAGAGGGCGCATTTTGACCCTCCCTGCATGGAGGGTCATGCCCTGGAGTTGAGAGCTGAGCCCCAAAGCCTGCGCCCAGGGCGCGAGGCGAGACGGCTGTCCGGAGAGGACGATGCTGCTCGCGAGGGAAAGGGGGCGCTGGCGCTCCAGGAACCAGACCCGGGCGGAGTGGGGCTCCCGGGAGAGAGCGGGGGAGGGGAGCGCGTTCACCTTCCCGGCTGTCTCTGATTTTGGGATTCTCTTGCTGGGGGTGGGGGGGTCGTGTTCCATCCTCCCCTCGACCCCCACCCCCACACGCGCACGCTCGCACCGGCCAGGGCGGCCAGGCTGGCACCCGCACGGCCAACAGCCATCACCTTCCCCCTCACCAGGAGGGTGGACACCGGGCAGTGGGCAGACGAGGGTCGCAGAGAAGTACTCCAAGGGGCGCGGTGCTGCGCCCAACTAGGACAGGATCTTGAGGTGTCAGGCTCGAGAGGAGGGCGCCTGGAGCCGGGCCGGGGGCCCCGTTCCCCCCGCTCTTCTGCGCGCCCGCCTCTCGTGCATCTTCGGCTCGGGTGACTGCGCCGCTCGCTATTACTTCCACATGTTCCTTCAGGAAATCATTGAAGGCCAATATATGAACAGCCCCTTGTTCGGAATGCTAACAGGATACCGTAATGTCTGTAGATAATGAACGGGCACAAACGATTCCCCAGCAAATCAGAGTGCGGAACGTAAAGGAAAAGCGGGTGCTGAGTCTCGTGTCATTATTACAGGTAAGTTGAGATCTGAGTTTTATGCCAGGTAACCAAGAGGGTAGGACACGAGGCAGGGAGCCTACTCAGGAGGGCCTGCTTTGCTTCGGGGACTCTGCCAGCCCGGTCACGCCAGGGTCTCGGGTCCACGGGGCCCCAGCGCTGCCCGCCCACAAATGGTAACTTTACAGTTCATCTCAGAGCGTTTAAAGGGGCCCGAAAAGCAGGCCGGGCGGGGGGCGGGGGCAGGTTCTTGGAGCAGTAACTCCTCGGGCGTTTAAAGCAGAGAGGAGTGGATGAGCAAGCGAGCACCCAGTTGGTAGTAATTACCTGCCTAATTTGAATGATGCCTTTGTTATGATCATTAACAAACATTTGCTAAAGGTTTCCATGTGTGACATTCTGGAAGGTTTAAAGGCCTGGGGAGCTGACTCCCGGGATAGCGCCCTGGTGGGGGGTGGCGCAGGGAAGCAAATGGTCGGGGGGGGCGGGGGAGGATTTCGCCGAGTCTGGACCATGCAAGGAAGAGAGGTCAACATCCGCCTCCCCTACAAAAGCAAAATAAACCCAGTGGTCAGGAGCAACCTCGGGGCAGGCGGCCCTCGAACCGAGGCGGTTGGTTCCTTAAAGCGCGTCCTGCCCCTGCAGCCCCCGCCCCTGCCACCGCTCATAGGCGGGTTTGAATCGTGTTTTCCGCCCTCCGCGGCTGGTCCGAGGCTTCGGGAAAGGTCCGGCCTGCGGCCGTCAGGCTGCCCGGGGTGTCGGGGGGAGGTGGGGCGAGCCAAGCTGTGCTCTTCCCGTGTTGTTCTAAGATCCTTCCAGATTGCTCCCTCGACGCCTGGGGTCCTGAGTGGTCTCGGGACGGCGGGGAGCTAGAATCGCTACCTGGCCGGGGCGGGCTGCGGGGTCTTTGCTTGGGCTCCTGGGCCGGTGCACGGCGGGCGGACCGGGACGCCCTGTGTACCCCGAGGAGTGACCTTCACCGCCATGGGCAGCTACGTGAAGGTCCCAACCGAGCCTGCGTTTTGATGTTCCACCTCTTGGTTTTTTCCTTGAGGGACCATCAAGGGGTTAAGAATGAGGATTTTCTCCCAAAACCGGGAATCCCGGCAGCGGCGATGGGAGAGGAAGGAGACTGAATTTGCCAGTGGATCCGGGCCGGGAGGTTCAGGGAAGAGGCTGGGAGGGAGGCCGTTCTGGCCTTGGCCTCGCGCATCTAGGCCTGAAGGCGAAGTGAGATTAGCTGCAAGGGTGCAAAGTACAGCCTGAGCCAACCTTCAAAAAGAGGGCCTCGTGAACTTTCTACAACCAGATCGAAAGGGTCACTGAAAACAAAAACAAAATCTCGCCACGCCCTGCCCTGCCCACCCCGGGCTCGCTCTCTAGGTCGCAGCTGCCAGCGCCACACCTCGGGCTTTCGTGGGCGTTCCCCGCGGAGTTGGCTTTTTGTGTCTTCTCTTCCTCTCCTCCCCAGCTCCACCCCCCAATTCCATTTTCCTCGGAGGATTCAGAAGGTGCTTCTGCTTTAGAAGATTTGAAAATGTAACAGTTATCAAAGCCCTTACTTGTGAAAATCACATTTAAACTTGTGAATTTTTTTTTTTTCCAAATGAAGTTGATGGGCGGGGCAGGGGGTGGGGGACGTGTCTGGCTTCACGATTTGAAAATGAAGGGCCGTTTGGTGGTTTGCAAAAGAAAACAGAGTGAACTGCCTCTTCTCCCACCCCCTCTAGCTGCCTCCCGGGGCCCAGCGAAAGGCTCTTTGCAGGGAAGGCTCGGGGACGTGGCGCACAGATGTGAGGTCCCCGCGGAGAGGGGGACGCCCTTGCCTGGGATCTGCCCCAGCGCAGGCTTGGAAGCTAGCTCCGAGGAGGCTCTTTGCACGCTCAGAATTCAAAGCTGCCCAAGTCTTGGAAAAGGAGGAAGAGTTCTCCAAAAGGGTCCAGATGGGCCTGTGTAACTTGGGGTGACAATTACCTCCTCTCCACGACTCCTCACCCACTGCCTCTTCTCCGTGGTTGCTGGCTGGATCTCAAAGTGCAGCCTCTCTTCTGGGTTCCTGGGGGCCCTCTCTCCAGAGAGTTCCCTGTCCATAGTGACCCGCTGCAGCTTCTCCAAAGGTTGCTAACACCACAGCCTGGGCATTGGCCTACTTGAGGATGAGAGCTTGTTCCTGGCGCAGCCCAGCCGCGGCCGGCCTTGCACTGCTCCGAGCTTGGGACAGACGTGGTAGAGCTGGACCCCTCTCTTCTGGCTTTTGATACCCTTTTCTTCAATCCGGGGAGATTGTTGTGCCTCCTGCTTGCCTCTCCTTCTCTTTAGGCCTTAAGTTTTAGTTACTTTTAATTTGAAAACCCATGTGAGGGGAGGGGAGGGAAGGAGGAGATTGGGAGGTCTGCTCTTTATTAGGGGCCTGGGCGTCCCGGTTTTCAACACACAGCTGTGGCTGGGGAGGGGGGGGAGGGCCGGCCCTGTGGAGGTCAGCCTGCCTGGAGAAGGGGCCTTGTCCTCTGGAAGTCCCAGGAGTATAGCAGAGCCCTGCGATATATTTTTTTGAAGCCTTCAGCGGAGAGACATTGTACAGTGGGAAGCCAGTGGAAGCTGAGCTCCTTGTTTGCTCAGCCATTAAAATGGGGAATAATCATAATATAATATCCCAAATAAATAATGTTCATGTTCAAACTTATGTACTATATATAATTTCAATACAATCAATACTTACCGAGCCTAAGATGCCCAAGGCTCTGTGCCAAGGGCTAAGGATACAGCCCAGCCTTCACAGGGTTTACGGACTAGTGGGGCAAACGATCAATGAAACATAAAGTTGCCACATCGTGCTGCAAGCAATGTTGCAGGTACAGAGTGACGTCAGAGCACATGGGAGGCTCAGAGAGGGCTTCTTAGAGGGAAAGGACATCTTCTCTGCCAACCTAAGAGGAATAAGAATCTAACTGGGGAGGAACCTCATGGACATGGGCTTCGAGGTGAGAGAGAAGATGAGGTCATCAGCAGTGAAGGAAGTTTGGCATGGCTGGAACTTGGAAAGCTCCAGATGGGAAACAGCAAGAAGGAGGCAAGATTGCCAAGGACTTCTCGAATTTGGGCTTAGTTCTATGGAAGTACCAGAATTGATTTAAGGAGAGGCAAGACTGGAGCGGAGTTGAATTTTAGGCAAGACTGTGAGCTGGGAGGGGAGTGAGGTCCCTGGCTTTGTCCATAGCTGGTGCCATTTACCCAGCTGGGGGACAACCAGGAACAGATTTCGGAAGGAAAGTGATGATTCACTTTTAAACATGATGCATTTGAAAAAGCTCAGGGGAAGGATTAAAATGAGAAGAAAACCCAAGACAGAAATTTGGATAACTCCAGCATTTTCCAGTAGGCAGAGAAGATACAGAGAAAGAACAACCGGGAATCTTTATCTCCTGAATATTCAACTGGTGTCTCCAAATGCATACAGCGGCAGTTGGTTGAA